AAACAACAAGTGAAAACTAAAGTACAAACAAAATTTAAGCTAATTTGGCTGATAACATTTGAAACTTGTGTTTTTTTTTTTAATTAGGAAGCAAGCATCAGTGACATGGAAATCCACATCTAAACACAAGAACACAGCAGCAGATATAATCTATGATGCCATGTTTTTGAACAACTCAGGCTAAACCTGCTGCTGCTGGAGTCTACCGGAGCTGAGCTCATATTTAAAACGTATTACCGCTCAGGCAGCGTATTAGTCACAGTTGTTTGTTGGTCGGAAATTGGTTGAAATAATATACAATATTTGAATTCCGCTCTGTGCTTCTCACAAAGCTGCTAATATAATCGTTATAGAGTTTTTTTTTCTCGGTAAGACAGTCTACGTTTTATTATGAAACCTGTCAGGTTAATATTTGCCGCGCGGAGCAAACAGTAAATCTGGATGGTGGGTGTCTGCTGCAGCTGCTCCTATATGAGAGGGCTGCCTTTCTTTATGTGCCACAGTATTTACATCCTGCTAATTATTTTGTATAAAGGCCTACAAGAGGTGATAAAATACAGTTATTGTTCTCCACAGTGGGCCTCCTGCGCCTCTCCCATCCCCCCACACAGGTGTTTCAAAGGTGCTGAACAGAGTTTTCTGCTTTTATGCACTTCAGTTTCACAGCTGAAGACGGTTGTTGTAACCCTTGTGTTTCAGTCTTTCTGCTTCTAGTCTCACTTTTTAAAAATGTATCAAACAGTGAGAAGCAAATAAATTGTGGTATATAGTCCAGCCTTGGGCTGCATGGTGGCTCGGTGGTTAGCATCGTCGCCGGTTCGCGTCTCGGTGAGGACACCCAGGTAGAGTCTCCATGTTCTCCCCGTGCAGCGTGGGTTCTCTCCAGATTCTCCAACTTCCTCCCACAGTCCAGAAACATGCTGAGGTTAATTGGTGATTCTAAATTGTCCGTAGGTGTGAATGTGAGTGTGCTTGGTTGTCTGTCTCTAAGTGTAGCCCTGTGATAGACTGGTTACCTGTCCAGGTGATAGATAATGGATGGATGGATGGATAGTCCAGTCTTCATTTGCAGGCCCAGATGGACTGTCATATCCAGATGCAGTACGCTCAGGAAAAGAGTCGCACACAGCCCAGCATACATGTAAAAAAAAAAAAAAGACTCTGAAAGTCCAGATGGAGGAAGGTGGTCCAGTTAAAGTTTCACCTGTCTGCAGTTCAAAGCATTGCATCACAGACCTTTGGAAACAGTGTCCAGAGGCCGAGAGCAAGGTCCTGAACACAACACTTGGGTGGTCCGTCCGTCCATTCCAGCGCCGCGCTCTCCTGCGTACCAGCAGCACCACAGTGACGTGTTGTGGGTCTGGCCGGCTCTCACTCTGCCCACGTACAGCAGAGAGCCACTTCACTTTCCCAGCCCTGATGACGGAAATGGAACCCGCCTGGATCCTTTCATCCAGCCGGAGAGCGAGAAGAGAAGGAGACGTAGCAGCAGCGCGGCAGCCGGGATGTCACTCGTGCACATGCAGCTGCCCTCTTAAAACGTAGCCGAGCTCTCGGCTGAGCTTCAATTTTATCGCGTTTCGTTGCCCAGACAGCTGTCAAACGAATGACATGTTTTACATCCACCACAATTTGTACATTTTCATCAGCCTAAAATAGCTCATAAAGCCTCCATTTTTTATAGGCAGTTTCATTTCTCGTGTCTTTTTTTTTTTTTTTTTTCTCGGGGTTGATCCGATATTGCATCAGAATGATTGCCATGGGATTCCTATTAGGAGGGAGGAGGAAGAGGGAGACAAAAGGAGAGGAATGAAGGATATAGCACAGCAAAGAGAAATGGAAAGCACGGTGAGAGAGAAAGAGGGAGAAAGAGAATAAGAGAGAGGAGAAGATTTGTGAGGAGGGGGGAGGGCCGAAGGCCGGCAGAGTCAGAGATAAGAGGCTGCAAGAGTGATTGAAATAGGATTAGTGGAGACAGGCTCTGCATCCCGGCCACAGCATCACAGTGTTAAACCTGCGCTTCACAGGGACTGCCTCTGTCACATCAAAGCCTCTGCAGGCCTGGCTGGCAGAGAGGCGAAGGAGCCTCCAGCAGGGTCATCCACAGCCACACACACCCGCCACATACATGAACATGCGGATCACACTCGCCATCCATCTCCAATATGTCTCCATTATGGGCACGGAGCTGGCTCCTTCCTCCTTGCCTTTTCATCTCCCTGCAGTGTCTTTGTGGTGTGTGTTTGGACCGCGGATGGGATGCATTGATGAGCCATCTTTAACATTTAATGAGGCAAGCAGTGATGAGTTGGCATTGGAAAGCTACTGTCTCCTGCTTCCCCAGAGTCCAAACAAAGTTTTAATGAGAACTTTCCCCCAATTTGTGCCAAAAGCACTGAGCTTTTTAACTGCTTCCCAGACTGAAAGCATACAAAAATTTCTCACTTAAATACTGAAAGAGGGCAGACACCTGTGTGTAGATAAACAGGTATGCAGGTGCTTTTATACAGAGCCTGTAGTGTCAGTGTTGTGATTCATATTAACAGTCAACATCACCTCTGATTGGATTATTATTGACATAAATCTTAAGTCATGCATGTTTGAGGTGTTGGAAGGAGGCTGCATTACAGTTTTGATGTAATTTTCTAATCCAGTATTATTGCTTTAGCCCCGTTTAAAGGTGAGATGTTGGTTGTTATACTCACATAACTTTGAAGCAGTGTTTTATACATTAGCATGTTAGCATCACCCAGTGCTATTCCCCACCTGGTTCTTCTGTCTATAAATGGTTTGTCAATTAAATTTTAAAAAACGTCTGATGTGCTAAATCCCAATCTGTGTCTTTATTATGCTAAAAATTACCCAGATTTCCACTTCCTCTCTGGTGTGTATCCCAGCAAATTCTGAATTACTGCAGCTCCTAGCCCAGCCCTGCATGCCCTCTAATCAAATGAACGCTCCCCGCTCCATGTTCGGCTTGTGTACTTACGCTCGAGAGTGTCTCAGTATGATCAAACGCTGCACCTTGGTCCTGTTCTGTTGCAGTAGATTATGGATCCCTATAGCTAAAATGGCCTGTTAATCTGCTGAGGAGAGACAATCCGCTGATTGGTGACTGCTGTCTTTTGTGTGTGCATATTTGTGTATGTGTGTGTGTGTGTGTGTGTGTGTGTGTGTGTGTAGTCATGTGGTGTCTGTATTAGTGTGTGTGAGCTGGTAGTTTTCCTCTCGGAGCTCATCAGTTCATATCCACCACCCATCCCACCGCAGCGTGCAGTAAATAGAGTCTCCGCCACTCGTTGAGAAATGGCACAATTATCCCCTGCTGGTGAAATATGGGCCGGGATGCACCACTGCTTCTTCCCTACAGAATGTGTGTGTATGCGTGTGTGTGT